TGAATAAGAATGTAGGACTGTTACAGTAACCAGTGTAGAAAATTCTTGAAAAAATTTTCCTAAGAACCAAAAGACTACCAATGCTTTGAAAGTATCAGCCAATTTTTTCACTTCAGTGATTCGTCTGTAGAACCAAGGCAAGGAGCAGATAGCTATGATTCACTTTACAAAAGTACGGCCAATTCCAAACCATTTCAACAGGAAAATCCAGAAACTCTACCAACCTAGCACTGTGTATGGTGTAAGAAAGATGGTAGAAAGACTGCAAGTGATAGAGTAAAAGAAACAATCTACAAGTGCATGCAGTGTGTAGTTGCTTAGTGCAAAGATCCTTGTTTCCAGTCATCATGGGTGTAAATTCCAGGATTTGGGGTAAAATAACACTTCAGTCATTGCCAACGAGGCAACCGAGCTAAGAAACGAGGTTGCCTCAGCGGCAGATTTATAGTCCCGCACGATGTAGGCAAAAACTCTCAAATTCTGCATAACCCTCCAAAATTTGCATTTTTGACCATATTTGGGTGTAAGTAAGACCCCATATTTGCGTAGTGACGTCATGGTCTTGTATTTATAACTCGTGGTCTGAAATTGGGTGATTCAGTGGGCAGCTGTTCGTTGTCTGTTCAAGAGGACCTAACAGGTGAGCAAGCTCTAATACAATTTCTAGTTTGAAAGGGCAATAAGTACTCTGGTTTGTATTATAAACTGTGTTTAAAGCAGCAGTTGATCAAGGAATAGGGTTTTACGCTCAAATTTTTGTCAGAACCAGCTTATTCTTTGCAGCTTGATTTACAATGAGGTAGCGCGTTTGCTTCTCGACTCAGAACCAGGGTTTTCCGTGTTGTCTTTTGCTTTGTGAATTGAATTTTAAGTGTAGTTGGTCAAGGTATAGGGTTATATTCTCAAAACTTAATCAGAACCAGCGTGTTCTTCGCAGATCGATTTACATTGAGCCAGTCCTCAACGTATTTGTGGACCTTTTTTAGAATTTATTCATGTCTTTAGATTTTGTCAACCAGTATGTTTTTTTGATTTACATTGAGATAGCCCAAAATCTTTTTTTCTGAAAATGGACTTCCTAAGCTTTAAAAAGAGACCAAATATAAATCTTTGTGTTGAATATTGTCAACTTATACAGTAAATCAAACCAGCTATGGTGTTTATTGAAGATACAGGGGCATATACTCTCCTTATCGTCCCCACTGCAGGTTAATTCACAGCTTAAGTGTCCTTGCCACCAGCAATTTGACCTCCAAGACAAAAAATGCTATTGCCCAAGGGTTGACCCCAGGGAGGGCCGGCACAGGCACAGCTGGAATTGATTATGCATGAACTAAAGAGTTCTTTACTTTTTAGAGGTTTACTTTTTGCTGTATATCTGAAATTTTTGCTCATTGTTTGCTCAATATAGTTTTTCTACTAGTGTCAGTCAACCTGTTGCTTTTCTGTGTTATGGAAGACCATTTTGACAGTGGTTACTGCTCATTTTGATACAAGTAAATTCTACAGCAGTCTCTTCGTTAAGCCCTTGCCGTGCATGGTTCTGAAGAAAGAAGATTGACCCCTTGTGGTCTAATTCTACAATCAAGCAGGTGCGGATCTAGGACAAATACTGGCGAATTCCTTAACAAGTCCTGAAGGCGCAAGCTTCTAGTGGGGGGGGGGGGGGTTCTCCTGACTGCCTCCACTTCAACACCTTTTTAAACCGAGGCGGGTGGGGAACAAGCTGTGGAGAGAAGGAGCCGGGAAAAATCCCGGAACCCACAAACGACAAAAAAGAAAAGAAAAAAAAAGGAAAAAACAAAAAAAAAATTTTGTCTTTCGGCCTTGGCGCGGTATGTACGTAAAAAGAAAAGATAGCCCCGTTGGGGTCAAATTTACAAAACAAGGGGTGGGGTGAGAGAGAAAAATCTGGGGGATGTCTGTAAAAAGCCCGGGAGGGGCGAGTCTTGGGGGGGGGGGGGGGGGGGATCTGCTGACATGCTTCACTTCAACAGCTTCTTCAAACGATGTCGATGATGGACAAGCTGATGAGCAGATGAGCCAGCGAAAATTCCGGAAGCCACAGACAGCAATAAAGAGATAGAGAAACAATGGCAAAAACAAAGTAAATCAGGTGAACAGAGATCGAAGAAGGTAAGAGCCAAACCTCGAGCTCAAATACTTGCTGATTGGCAAACAAAACATGCCTGGCTTTATGAACAAGGAGGGAAAATGTTCTGCAGAACCTGCTTAAAGCACAACAAAAACAATTCCATGACCGAGGGGAATTTGACTTTGACAAAGCATTGAGAGTGTGCAGCAACAAAACAAAATGGAGAATCTTAAGTGCATGACACAATGTTTTCCTGCCGTCTCACTCTGATAATCTATAGATGCTCAAAATGCTTTCCTTTGTTGAGTTCTAGGATAGCTAAGGTGCTGCTATGGTGATGGAAACAATAAATAGAGCTCTAAGCTTTGATATGAAGAAAGCCTGCAATAAAAGTAGTGTTAAAGTTGATTCCGAGTCATCCGTGAATTTTACAAAATGTCCCTCCCAATAGTCTGATGTCCCCACTTTTTTAAAGCAAGGGGACACCTTTCCCACTTTGGACATTTTCTAGAATGAACACTGCTTGTAAAAGATAAACAACAAAGCAAGACTTCAGTTGTTGAAAAAGGTATTTATGACATGCTTATATTGTGGTGATGCCCAAATGCTTACATTGTAATATCATTGGTAAGCTTTTTATAAAATATTGATTTTTGCTTCCTTTTTTAATTCAACTATTTACAGAACGCCAGTGCTTCTAAAAGCTTGAAAGAAGGTTAGTTATTGACGATGGACTAAATTTTTTAATGATGTTAATATTTTCGTTCATATTAAATTTTGCCAGTAATATTGTCAAAGTAAGTAGACAGAACCATATTTATTTGTAATTGTCAAGTCATCTTGACCCTGTGAATTTATTTTCTGTAGGTGTACATGTACTGCCATCCTGCATACAGTGGTTGGTAAAAAAATCTGCTGCAATAGGTACGTTTGTACCTTTTGGTAATGTTGGTAGGTATGTACTAGTTAAGGTATTCCTGGAGGCTAAATTAACCAAATTCGGGCTATGTTTGGTTGTGTATTTCAAGAGAATAAAAAACGGTAGCTAGACCACATTACGGCCAGCTGTTGGTCAATCCTCACAGTTTCGAAAAAAATATTCCGCGGGCAGTCAACTGCTAAGGAATGCATGGAATTCAGGAAGATATGGGGCGTGGTCAGGTCCCCTTCAAATCACGTCAAGGCTCAAAACTGAAACAGGATTTATTATTTCACGATAACATTGGGTATGCAAAAAATATAAGCAAAAACGCACGTTTTCACCGCAGTGCACATTCTCATTTTGAATTGTTACATTTTTATGAACAAAATTATAAATTTTTACCTTGATGAAATTTGAGAATCCTTAACTCGGGAAATATTTTGCTCCAGAGTGTGCACTGCGGTGTAAATTTTCCTTTTTCTATTTACTTTTGCCCTGCCAAGTTTGAAACGCCGACAATTTATCGTTAAGTAGCAAGATCGAAAAACATAGTTCCCCATATTGGTGTATTCGGCTGTTGTAGTTGTAAATCGGCCATAAATTGCAGAAAATTTCTCATTTCGCCTCGCTTCATGCTTACTTCGATGGCAGCCATGTTTGCTGTGTCCACAGTAAGTATCTACAGCAGTGAAACACAAAATACTCCCCCATATACGGTAAAGTTGACCATTTTTGTTTATCTATTTTTCCTGGGAAACCAATGAGAGGGCAGCATGAAAGAATTATATCTATTGATGGCCAGTGGCGATCAGAAAGACTGGTCAAGAAGTCGTCACGAAGTTCGTGGCTCAGGAAGCGCTTCAAGAATTCACCTGAACACTGGACTGCTTGAAGAAGCTGGGTGGAAAATCTTGTCTCGCAAATCTGGAAATCGAGTACACTTAACGTACGTGGATCCAGAGGGTAAGAAATTCAAGAGTTCGAAAGACGTAGAATGGAAACTAGAGGCTGATGGAATACTCGATCAATTTGTGAAGGAGAATAGCTGTGAAGGAGAATAGCTGTGAAGTCGCCAGCAAAGTGTCGTCCACACACAAAGATTGCGTGGAAGATTCTGATGAAGATTACCAACCACCACTGAAAAAAACAACTACTGAAGGTCATGTCAAATCTGGGTGAGTATTTTCTCTGGTTGCTTGTAGTAATGTTCCGTTTTCCTTTACATAAAATTCAAAAATTTGAAGTGATATTTTAACATTTCATGATTTATATTTTATTTTGTCAAATTGTGAACTCTTTCTTCACATGGAAAGAAAGCTTATTTTTTAATTCTTTGTTTTATGTGCAGTTTGATCATTCCAGAGGGATTGTTTGTGGGCACAACCTCCCCCATATTACAGCTTGTCAGAGATTTCAACAATGTTTTCTGTTGCCCTTTATACAATCGGAGGTGTGAAGGTGTGTATGAATTAGGAAATTTATACTCTAGTGTCCTCAAGTAAGTAATCACTCAGTCCTATTACCATCATAAATCGTAGCACTAACCTCTTGTTGTGTGATTCAAGCGTACCATGTCATGAAAATTGCTCAACCACTTTTTGTTTTCTTTTTTCAATGACATCCTGACTGTTATGAAAAATGTACCCTCTGGACTGAAAACTGTTTTTGATTGTAAAATTTTTATGTGATTTTTCGTCATAGGAAAGCTTGTGCTCACTGCATGTGAAAAGAAGGGATTTGGAGGGGCTATGATGTTTACATTCAAGTGTTGTGGGTGCTGGACCACAGAGATAGACTACAAGAGCAGCCAACTTGCCCAGAATTCACAGAGGCAAATAGTATCCTTGGCCCTCTCTTTAGCATTTTTCATAAGTGGGCATGGGTATGCTACTTATAGGAAAACCCCGAAGTTTAGGGTTGGGTGTTACCTCAGAAAAACCCTTTTTGGAGGTTATCAACCTTGCACTTCCTCATATTAAAGATATGCTTGATGAGATGTGTGATGATGCCAAGCATCAAATGAAACAGCTCTCATCTGATCAAATAGGCAGCTGGTCCAGAGCAGTAACATGCTGTGAGGGTTGCTGGCTAATAAGGAGGCACTTTAGTCAAAATTGCACCTTTGTGATCAAAAACTACATCACAAGTGCCCTTCTCTATTATGGTCATTTGTCAATGCGAGGTGCAGATAGAATTTGCGATGAAGACTTGTGGGAAGGCACTGCCAAGTCAGCTGAAGGTCATTTGAGCCAAAAGCTTTGGGCCCAGGGCAAAGAAGAAGGCATGAAAGTTGAAATTAATTGGCAGGATGCAGACTCTTCATCTGCTAAAGGGTTTAGGTATTCACTTTCCAATGAACAGGAGTCAAGGATGATGTTATGTGGGGGTCATGTGGGTCGGGCACATGGAAAGAACTTGGAAGAAATTAAAGGAATGTCAACCTTCACCCCCGCATTTATAGCCTTGCATAAACCTAAATTTCCTGGTATTGAATCAGTGAAATGCTCTTGTGCGGGCAAAAAACATACCTTTGTTGCTACAAGGAACAAACCTGTTTGTGGTTGTCTTGGACCCGGATTCATTCAGAATGCCAAGCGTAATCACTACTGTGCACTAGTTCAGGCTGCTTGTAGCCCTGAGAAGTACAGAGACACAATGTTGGTACTTGGCAAATACCACAGCAGGGATATTCATGAATGGGAAGGGGGTTCTTGCTCCTTCCATCCATTAGTAAAGTGTTCATGTAAGGAATGTGTTGAGGATGAAAATGGGTTTACCCTGATATGAAATGCCAAGGACAGCCATATCGCTCTACTCACCCCGTGAAATGTCAATTTCATGGGTTAGCCTATGAGACAGAGGGTGCTGAAAGGGCAAAAAATGCAAAAAGTATCATTGACCCAGAATTACATAAAGGGCACTCCAACCTTCCTGAGGCAACATTTAGTGTGCTAACTAAATTTAGGGCCAAGGATACTAATTTGCATCAAAAACATTATCAAGCCTCCACAAATCTGGGCCTCATTCAAAGTAATATGTCCTGGCTGTTCAAAGAGAAGGGGGCTCAGTACTACTGGATTGTGGATTTGTATTCATGGATGGGACTCCCAATTCTTAGCGAAATACAAGAAATGGTAAGTTATTACAAAAAAATATAGATTTTAATTGTAGAAGTTAAAAGTTTAGAGGTGGTGGGCAGTTTAAAACATTTCAGGTTTCATTGGCTTTTGTTTCTTTAGTATGTTCAGCATCACGTTTTGTGTTTTCTCCTGACTGACTAAATTTTATGGAATAATATTTTTTGCCCCATTTTACAATACTTGTTTTTTTTGCTTTTCTAGTGTCAACGTGACAATGAAGAAAGAATGAAAAGGCTGGAGCGATAGAAGACAGACGCTGAGAAACAGAAGAGAGTGCAAAAGAAAAAACAATGTGCTGATGAGCAAGAACTAAGGTTAGTAATACCAGTTTCTGTGATCACTAATGAAGCACATACTCTGTACCTCATGTCCACATTTTGAAATCTTACCTTGTCTCCCCTTTCTAGTAAAAAAATTCTTGCATGCTTTGACTGACTAAGGTGAACAGCAGTTTATTTTTTCAAAAAGAATGTAACATCAAAGGTCTGAAAGCTTGCACCGGGGTAACCCAGATGGTAACCAAAAACTGTGTTGTCATTACCCAGTTTGCAGAGCCCAACACCCCGAGATCTACCAGGGTACCACCTTCTACAAGTAAATGCTTTGTTTTCTTCTGTTACTTGGTACTACTGATTTTTACGGGGTTGTCACTAAGATTCCATGTTATTGTTTAGGACCAATAGTAGGCATGATTTTGCACTGCTTTTGGTTCGGATTTTATTTTGTTCTCATGAGAATATGCGGAGGTCAGGCCAAAAGTAGACGACAATCCTGGCCCTTAGTGAGAGACCTAAAGCTGTTGATGCTTGTGACCAGTATAGCCTAGGGCAAGCACCAACATATTAATTCCACAAATAGGGTGGTCTCTCTTTTAGAGACCCTGCATGAGTAAAAAACCAGGGCTGTTATTTCACAAGTGGTAACACAATCCTTTTATGTTTAAGGAAAAAGAATGTGAAGAGATGTAGGATTAGACACACGTATGGAGAAGAGGAGGGCATTTCAGAAGAAGAAGCTCTTCAAATTGCGCAAGACGCTGTTAACGAAGAGGCCGCAGATGGGTGTCGCACCATGCCAGAGACATCAGTACAGGATGTTGCAACTGCCCCAAAAAACTCTGTGGTCACTTTAGGCAGAAAGAACTGTAAATGGTGTGGGAGTTCTACCCACAGTAGGAAAACCCACAAGGACTGCCCCCATAACCCAAAAAATGCCTCAAGTTCTAGGTGAGAACTATTCTTCAAGCTTTGTTTTGATTTGTTAGCTGTGTAAATATTATAATTAAGAGAGATTCAAAACTGTAGCAATTTTCAAAAGAAAGAAACTTGGAATTGCAGTGATTTTACTCACATTTTCCTGCTCTTGAGGCCATTTACAATGACTGCTTGTGGTATTTCGAATTGTTTGATTGGCCATGTGATTACCTTAGGTTTTGTTTGATGACACTCAATTGAAAAGTGCTCTATTATCAGAACATGCGACAAATTATTTGAAAAGTAACAAAAGAGATGACACTTCCCCTTAAAAATAGTATTATTAGAATAATAGTAAAATAGACAAGTTGAAAGTTCAAAATATACTTATTTGTGATCTTATTGACATTTTTCCTTATTTCATAATCAAACCAAAAAGTCTACAAATCAATCATTTGCACATTGTTAAAAAAAATACTTCAGCTAGAAATAATTGAATAGCTATTGTTTACATTTTGATTTGTGTCATTTTTATACTCGGCATTTTCAGACGAATAATCAAAAATTCAGAATTAAATAATTACATTTTACATACCTAACTTTTTTTTCCTCCTTTCCATATTATAAAAAACACAAATAAACCAATTACAATATGTTACATTCTTGTAAAAACTAGTAACAATAAAATAGAAATGGTAAAATAGTTATTGATTACATTTGAATATTTTTACATGTTGAACATTTTCATAAGGGACCATTCATTTTTTATGGGGTAGGGGGGGCTGGTGGGATTTGGAGGAGTGTAATTTGAAAATTGTATGACCCCCCCCCCCAATTTCCGATTTTTTTTGCATGCCCCCCCCCCTCATCACAGTAATTTTTTGGAAGGCCCCCCCCCATGAATAAAAAAATACATAAGGTATTAAAAAGTTACTGCATTAAAATTTCGTTTTGTTACATTTCACGTAATTTAGTGAAAGAAAGCTGAAAGCTAGAAAGCTGTTTTTAACAAATCCTCACTCAAAAGAATGAAAAGTCAATTTCAGCTCTTCTTGTTACTGCTCGTCCTGAGCGTGTTGTAGCTGGCCACTCGTCTACATATTCCTCGTCTGAGGCGATAAAAGCAAGAACGACATCATTTGAGTCGTCTTCAGAGTCAGGGGTATCACTCTTGTAATCATCATCAGTTTCTTCTCCCTCACTGCTTTCACCACTGCTGTCTAGTTGACCTGATTCATTGCTGCCACTCACTTCGGCTTGACCTGTTCTGAGAGTATTCATCTGCAGGAAGTGTCCCATAATTGTCCTCACTTTGTCATTCTTGCTACTGTTCTGATGCTGTTTTAATAGCCCATGATGTTGTAAGTATTTGTTCAATTCTGGCACACGGAGCTTTTTTAGCTTGGCGGCATCTTCGCACAAAGTAGCCCAATGATAATCATCATAGGACTTTTCTCTTGCCTCCCTACTTTCCCTTGCCCTTTCCTTTCTTGAGAAACTGAAAGGGCAGTTAAAAATTCTGAGTGATCATGACTCCATGCTCTTCCAGGCGAATGGCATTACCCTGAAGCCTGACAAGAAATTCCACCATGACTTCAATGTACAGCACATTGCTAGGATTGAGGCAAAGCAGCTCAAGGTTTCAGGGGAATTAGAAAACCTCGAAAAAAAGAAGGAGACCTTTGACCAGGTCTTCAAGGGCTTAACAGGACACTATGTGTCAAAAAAAAGAAAATTAAAACAAAACCGTAGGAAATCAAAGGGCAGAAAACGCAAACGGTTTGAAAACAACGTCCTACGCGTGTATCATATCTGCGTTGCAAATCCCCTTGCAAAAGAGCTTCACAATTGTCTTCTTTATCCTCCCTCCATGACAATTCCGGAAGCGTGCATAAACGTTGAAGATGTAGCAGCATTGTTTAACACGCGATGCAGCATTCATCGCTCACCTACTGCAATCAAGCTACTTCAGCAACACGGCACAAAGCAGGCTTATTACCAACCTTAAGCCAGAAGTAAGAAACAGGATGTATTGCTTCCTGCATCCTGGTAGTAGTTTCATGCTCCTTCCATTAAATTTCTCAGAGAAAAGCTCTGGTAACGAGGTCAGTTCCAATTCAGGACTCAAATTATTGGTTTTAATTATATGAGCTTGACAACAACATTTTTATGAATGAAAAGAAAGTCATTGCTATTCAAGACTGTTATTATGGTATGTTCACTGTCCTTATAAAATATAAAAGCTGTTGAGAAGTTTTCTTGTTACCCTGGAGCTGTTTTAGCATATTTGTTATAAATAAAAGAGCACAATTTTTCTTCGATTTGTAAACATCTCTTATCCTATTTTTAATCTAATTTTTTCGTCCGACCCCCCCCCTTTCCTTCATTTTTTTATGGCTGGCCCCCCCTTTCAAGCCAATTTTTTTCGAGTGCCCCCCCCCCAAATCCCACCAGCCCCCCCTCTCTCATAAAAAATGAACGGTCCCTAAGAATCCAAAATTGAGAAAAAGGATTTTTAATCAAATATTTTATGCACCCTTTTCTTTATTTATCACCTGGCCATCTGGCCTCATGCAGGTCAGACATGGTGACCTTGTAGACCTGAAATGCAAAATAGATGAAATAAGATAAACATTTAGAAAGCATATATATTAGGTAATGCTTGCTTTCAGGGATGGGCCTCCAAAAGTTCTTACAAAGTTCTTAATGATATCCAACAATTTGGAAAAATATATAATGAAACATACATCAGTTGAGTACTTTTGGGAATTACTATTACAAAAACTTAGAACTGACTATTCAACGTGAGTGGCTTCCCTTTTAGCAGAGTCTACTTGTAATATATTTGAGATGAAGAACTACAACAAAAAAGGAGTCTCGGCTAGCAGGAAAGATTGGGGAGAGTGGGGTTCGGCTTTATTTATAACAATAGTAACAATAACAATAATGAGCATGATAATGCAAAAGTCCTACCGTAGAGGTTTCAGGATTGGGATAATCCCTCAAGTCCCCACTTAGTCTTTCCCTGATGGCTGCCTTCAGGCAGTCGGGGTAGACGTAAGTGGGGAGTCCTTTGCCTCTAAATTGGCCCTCTCCAACTTTGTTTCCAAACTGTCAATAAAAGAGAAAAATTATTGAATTTAAAAAGAGGACTTTGAAAACGATTTAGCACGGATAAACACGAAATAAAAGTCAATGACACCCAAAACAACTGTTGATGTGAAGAGGTAGAGTATCAAAATCCTCATAACTAATGTCCTCTAAATGATACTGTGCTCTGTGATAAAGTATGTCGTTCTCTTGACCAATCAGAAGCAGAACTAAAACGATCGAAACTTAGACATTTGTGTTCTCTCACGATTATTTACCTTACGTTCTCGTTGGCGGTTGTGAAATTTACACTTGTCCTAATTGGACCTGTGATTACCTTTTTTTGGTTTGGTTTTACAACACTCCATCATCAGAGTGGTATACTGCATACGCTCGCAACAGAATCAAAATTCATGAAAAGAGAATTGTGTGCTTGATGCAATTTGTTTTAGGGATCTGACCGAAATAAAACAAGAAATTCATATCGGGAGTTGCGGCGCATCAAAAAACGCAAGGTTTAAAGTTGAACTGTAGGCTTATGTAAACTTTACGATATACGTGATATGATATGTGAACGGAAAGAGCAGAGGAAAGCGCAAGTACCTATCTCAACCCGTATACTAAACAGAAGGAGGGTGAATGGAGAATAATATTTACTCGTTAAGAAAAAGCAGGGGGAATTCAAAATATAAATTAAAATCTCTGATAGAACTTACCCATAAAATACCAAAAATGCGGCGAAAGAACCACTTCCTGGCAAGCTTGTTGCTTTCTTCGGCCTTTTTAGAGAAACCACTGACCAGCCGCGTAAGGCCCAAAGGACTTCCTTGAAAACTAATTGGGAAACAAATTTTGTTAACCAAACCAAAATTATGAATTTCAGAGAAAAAGTAATCCTCACTGTATCAAGGAAATTTATTTACCCGTTCTCTCTGAAAGCTGTCTCCAACACGTGTATTGCTCAATCCGCCACCATGGTCAAAGAGGGTCATTTGTATCGGATGACAAGGTTTTATGTCAGCGATCTGTCAACGAGACCATCCTTGGGGAACTCCAAAGCAAGATGATAGTGTTTTGGCCGCAGTATGGTGTCTTACTTTTCGCACTAAATCGGCCCTAGAAACGAAAATTCGCTTGCCTATATCTCGGTAGAGTTTGGTTGTATCGACCTGAAACTTTGCGTGCGAGTTTTTGTTGACATTGCCTATTAACTGGAAAAAATTACGGCAATCCGAAAGAGTCACTTTAGCCTCCAGGAATACCTTGAGAAGTATTTACCGTTGTATATATACCACTATTAGTTATACTTGTGAGTGGAATAACCTACTTTGTGAAGCTGAAAGAATCTATATCTGCAATGTTTGTTACATCCTTCATTCAAAACTGCAGGAGGCAGGGGATTATAATTTTTATACAAGTTTGCATGCCATCTGTCGCTTTTGTAGTCCTAACCTAAAAGTTATATTTGTAGGTGCACTTTCCAAAGAAACAAATATAGGTGTGAGTGGAAATATTGCGAGTGGCAACATTATTTCTGACAACGGTATGTTTATACATTAAAATTTTTTAAACCTAAATGACTTTACATGGAGTGTACTATGTTTTGAAATGTGGAGAACCACATTGTATTTTTGTGTTTTGGATCTCTCTTATGTACAGTTGTATAATAATTTTATGATGAATATATATATATTTTTTTAAGGTCATCAAACAACAATATTATTTTTTGTATACATTAGGAAATCAGCTATTATGTGACCCAGCCACAAAGGTGTGAGAAAATTAATACCTTTACTGTTCACAGGTCCAATACCATACAGCGTACAACTTCTGAATTGTAATCAAGAAGGTGACTTTGTTTCATGAGGCCTATGCATGAATAATGTTCACTGCATGAATTACATTAATTTTCTGAGCTTAAGAAATATCAAAGAGAAGATTAAGTTGCTCGTAGCTTACAGCGTTGTTACCCTTAATTTGTATCAGTATAGTGTAAGGTATAACCGTGGTTCATTAACCAAAAATACTTCAAATGAACCTCAGTTTGGTCAACACTTTATCTTCTGGCATTTACATGTATCCACGATTTCAATTAATTTTTTCTTCCTTCTGTACTAAAAAATAATGCATGGGGTTAAGAATATATAGTGTATATTGCAGTTAAAGTAATACTACTGTGGGGGTGACATTAAAAGTAGATCCTGAAAAGCTGAGGGAAGAGAGTCCAATTTACAAGAATCTAAACCTGCTTGTTTCCTTTAATTATGAGTACTGCAAAGCATTAAATCGATCAGATGTCACTTATGAACTTGCTGTAGAAAATCTACAGTTGGTGCAAAAAAGGGAGAATTGCAAGCATTGGCAAAGAAGAAAATTTATAGTGATGTTTATCTGTACAAGAGAAATAAGTCCTGGTCAGCTGTTTACCTCTTAATGAGCCACCTCCTGTGCCATCCAAACTAATCCCATCCCTGTGGTCAAAAGGAATCAGTGAAACAGAAGAAGATCTGAAAGAAATAAAAGTAGAAATGACGTTGATTGAAAAATCAAGATTTAAAGACTAACATGTCATTGAGCAAAAAAGGGTCTGCTTTAAAATTCAACCCAGATGCACATTTCAGCTGTTCAATGAATAAGATGCTTGACAAGTTACAGTTAGCTGATGGGCATGACAAGATAAAATAATGTTTTTAACCATGTATAAATAAGTCATCGTTCAGAGATGACCAAGCTGGCTTTCAGCTTGACACTACTTATACACACTACCAGCACAAAGAACTCTTTTCCGCAGTTCAGGAGATCACAACACCTACAGATTTCTTGAATAAATACTCTTCTGTCCTGCAAACATCCTCATATCTGTTTATAGAAACTTGTACAACTGAAGAGAGAGCTGCTGGCATGGTGAAGAACCATTCTTCATTTAGAAAGAACTCATCAGAATACCCTGCTGATTTCAGTTTCCTTATTGTGTCCGGGTTGATCAAGCCACTGATGAGTGACCCTCTAGTCCAAAAGTTCAATTTCTGTGGACAGAGGTTAACCTTGTCTTACAGCACGAAACAGTGGAGGAAGTTTCTTAAACAGAGTTCAATTGGTCAATGGCTGCATTGCAAGGGCACACAGTAATATCTACATCCCCTCCGAAAGGAAATTTGGAAGCAACCACAGAGATATACAATGATAGAGTGCAAGATGCTCTCTTTGAAAAAACTACTATCAGGAATTTCAAGGATGCTAACAATGAGAATGCTACATATTTACCAGAGAGTAGAGAAAAATTGTTGAGTTTTTTACATGGTTCGAAAAGTGCAAAACAAGAACTAAAAAAGGAGACCCAGTTTTTACCAATATTGCGAAGAGGTGTGGCAGGTTCGAAATCATCACCGACCTCC